AAGTCTAAAATCTGTGATGGACACTAAAGAACTTTAAGTCCCCTCTGTCTCAAGAAGCTACTCTTAAGAGTATCAGCAGAATACTGCAGAAATCAAATCGGCATTCTGGACCATACTTTCTCCGGAGAAAGAGGCAGTCATTACTGAAATAAAGCAGGCAGGAGAAAACAGCCTTTCCGCACCTGTTCCCACCTCTCATTGAGAGCTGCCAGATCTTCCCAACAGCCCTCCCCTCGCCCTGGCTTCCCATTAGACTCAATAGCTCTGAGAGGCTCGAGGTCGCAGCATGCAAAACTGAAGTTAATTTTGCAATGAGTTTGACAACGAAGTATTAACACAGAGTAGAAGCAAGTCTTGCAGCCTCTTAATCAGAATGTCTTCTTGTCTATAATTGGGAATTACAGACCTTTAGGAGTTCAAGTTAACCCCAATGGAGACTGTTGTAAAGGAAGGGCGTGATGGTTTACAGAGTCAAAAGACCAACTGGGAATCAGACAATACACCTCACCATTTCAGGTTAAACTATGGTGGTTAAACAGTAAGATACAGCAGCTTCCAGACATTTAATAAGAGATGCAATGAGAAATGATGCCACCGTTTCCTCCAATGCATTTAAAAAGCCTCAGATCAATAATACGAAACAGGAGCATGAACACGGGGTAGTTACAAATAGACACTATTTGATGATCACGCATAATTTTGCAAACGGAGAACAAGTCCAAATAATCCTGGCCAGAAGGTACTTCGGTATTTGATTTACCTTTCAAATGGTTAAAATATATGTAAGAGAAAGAAATCCTAAAAAGCTTTTAATGAACTGGAAACAAATAAGCAAATCCATCATATGAAATTAATCATGGTATTTATAAAAGAACCCCCAAACACTTTAAAATGAAAGGTGGAAAAAGTGAGCTAAATTATATATCTGTAAAGTTATCAGATTTTAACACTAAAAATTTCAAAGTGCCTTTGATGACCAAAGTCCACACACCTATGGGATTCTTTGGAAGCCAACTGTGGGTTCTGCTACCAGGTGGCTTGTTCTGATTCTAAAGAGTACCAAGGACATGGAGTACCTCAGCATCCAGATTCCTACCAGAGAGTACAGCAAGGAAACTCCTTAGAATCTCAGGGGGCTGTTATGTCTCAAAGTTGCTATATTCCTTAAGGAAAGGAAAACGCATTTTTAAAACTGCTATGACAGCTTCAATAAAGCCAAGGTAGACCATCATATTTATGTTCTGATTTCTAATAAAAGAGAGAGGCATATGACAACATATAATTTAAAAGACACATTTAAGGGGCACCTGGGTGGCACAGATGGTTAAGCGTCTGACTTCAGCTCAGGTGGTGATCCCAGGGTCCTAGGATTGAGCCCCACGTCGGGCTCCTGGCTCAGCATGAAGTCTGCTTCTCCCTCTGCCTCTGCCTCTGCCTCTCTCCCCAGCTCATGCTCTGTCTCTCTCAAATGAATAAATAAATTCTTTAAAAAATAAAAGACACATTTAAGAAACAAAGCAGATGAACATAGGGAAAGGGAAGGAAAAATAAAATAAGATAATAACAGAGAGATAAACCGTAAGAGACTCCTAACTATAGGGAACAAACGGAGGGTTGCAGGAGGGGAAGTGGGCGGGGGGATGGGGTAACTGGGTGATAGGCATTAAGGAGGGCACTTGATGTAATGAGCACTGGGATGAATCCTAAACTCTACCCTGAAGCTAATAATACATTATATGTTACCTAACTTGAATTAAAAAAAAAATAATAACAATGAACAATAAAAGACAAAAAACAGGAAGCACCTATGACCAATATCAATTGTTTGGATGAAAACTTGGTTCAAAAAAAGAGCTTTCTTATATCTTTGTAGTATTTGCTCTCAGGACTGTGGGGGCACCTGGGTGCCTCAGTCAGTTGGGTGTGTGCCTTCAGCTGGGGTCGTGATCTCAGGGTCCTGGGACTGAGCCCCGCGTCGGGCTTCCTGCTCAGCAGGGAATCTGCTTCTCCCTCTCCCTCTGCTCCTCCCCTCCCCAGCTCATGCTCTCCCACTTGTGCTCTAATAAATAAAATCTTAAAAAAAAAAAAAAAGGACTATTCAGCTGCTAGGCACATTACCTGACCAGAATAAAAGTATTTCAGTGTCTTCAGGAGTCCCTGGCCCCAGCCTTGGGCTCCCACCCACCTGACAGGTGCCTAACTGATTTACGGGTAGAGCTCTTTTGAATAATGTAGCAGGAAACACCCACCAGCAATGTCTTGCTTCTTTCAAATCAGTGATCCACAATCCTCAGGCATTTCAAATACTTAAATAGTGAGCACCACGCTCAGGGGAATACAACGTCAAGTTATAAAGCAAGATCAGATAGATGAATTGAAACATAATTTGGGGGTAAATGGCCTAGGAGTAAAATGCATGAAAATGGCAAGTCAACTTCAGTTACTTTCCTTAACAACTGTCAAAAGAAATATTAGGCTTAAAAAAAAAACTAGGAAGTTATTACACATGGATTTGAAATAAAAAATAAACAGAAAATATTCATATTCTTACTGAGGAGGGCAATGCTTTTTTTTATCTTATTTCTTTTTCAAGAAACAAATGATTAATTCAGCCCAATTCCAATAAAGGTAAACTTGGAAGTTTTGTTTCATTTAGAAATTATACTCATTAAAATTTAAAGGTAAATTTAAACCTAAATATCCAGGAAGCTGTTGGATACTACCATACCCAAAAGCCAATTTAATGGAAAACCTTAGTCTATGATAAACATAAATAAGTGGCACCCATACCACAGACTAGCAGAAAGTCTGACACGCAGGATCCCTACAATACATATTTGTTGAATTACTGAATAGTTGAATATATTGAAGATTTGTCATGCTACTATTCTTTCTCCTTATGAAACCAAACTGCGAACCCTTACAAGTTTTTCTATAAATACACTCTAAAGAGAAGAAAGATGACTGGCATTGAAAACAACGTATAATTTTACAACTTACAATCAAGAAGGTGTTAGCACTTAGAATTCTTCAGTGAATTCTAAGGAATTTTTTTCCTTATAATTTAAAATTATAGACCATACAGAGTATCTTAACAACATATGGCCAAGTTTATGTGATCATCTGAGGAGAATAACTCAGTTTCATAAAAAATGCAAATCGAACAGTAGTGCATTAATTCATGCCAACCCTGCTCTCAAGACAGTCACCAGGGACGTCCCACATGAAATCAATATGCATACATCTATTTAACTTTTATCACTGGCTCGCTAAGTAAATATCAGGCTATAGACCACTTAGGTATTCATTATTCACAGGCAAATAGCAAACGTAAAAAGCAGGCTGATAGTGTCAAGTCGTTAACAAATCAATCGATAACTGTTCCCCGGCTTTAGTTTGCCGAACGGGGGGCAAAGATGGGCAACATCTGGAGAGCGAACGGTGAATGCGCTGCCAGGGCACAATCTGTTAGCAGCAGAGGGTTGTGTATTTACGCTGACTCGGAGACAACCTCTCACGGGAAGCCTTAGGTTGTGTCAGGTCTTCTCAGGCTTTCATCAGCTCTGAAACAGATCCGCTCTTGGTACTACCCTTATATAGCAAAAGGCTGAGATCCCCCAGGACCACAGTGGGAAACTCAAGACTCCCTTGACTCCCCAAGGTGTCCGAGACAGAACGAAGACATTTGAGTGCATTACACGATGAGCAAATGATTTCATCCTCAAACCTCCCATTTCTATGGCTTATGAAGATTTTCAGCATTTTTTAGAGACCACATGTCCTCACAAGCAGCTAATCCCCCCTTCTCAGAGTGACCAAGAATGGTTCCAGTTTTGTAAAATACCTCACATTTGTTTTTTTAAGTGTGAGCCCTGTTAGACATGACATTCATAGTGCCAAGCCCCTGAGAACAGCATCCTTTGTACATTAATTTCAGGATGATCACTGCTGCCGTCTGTCTCATGTCACAGACAGCCAATCCATCGTACTGCCTCTGAGGTCACTTACCCAACTTGTCAACTAAGAGACAGTGAAAATGAAATGAAGAAAAGGAAATTCAGTCACTGGAATAAAGCTGGATTTCACAACTCCTTCCTCAATTTGCACTACATGATAAAAACCATTGTCTACAAAGTGTCATCAGTGACAACAGAGCTCGTAAAGCGTTGCCCATTTTTTCCTCTCATCCATTCTAACAATCAACAGTAAGACTCAACTCAAAGCCATACAAACTACGCTCTTAATTAGAATTATGAGAACTGAAGGCAGTAGGAGGTCGAGACAGATCGAACATCCTTCCCACTAACAGCTGGAGTTAAAAAGGCCCTTTCTCACCCTATACTCATTTCTGTGACTTGATTTGTGGGGACAACATGACTATTTGTTGTCAAATGCAGAAGTTACCATCAGCACACAGGCATATCCCTGCTGGAAGCAAGTCGTGCTGGGTTTTAAATGAACCTGCACTGTATTTACTTACCCTCCTGTCTTATTTCCTAGGTGAAAGGTTTAATTAAAACTTCACCCTAGAAGCAATCTGCACAAGAAATAGCTTTATTGGAAGTAAAAGTCATAACAGCAATCTGTTCATCCTGTGAGTGGCAATTTTCTTACTGTGTTTTCCTTCTCTTCCAGAGAAATCTCGGTCCCCTCCCTCTGCCCCAATGATGAATGCAGAGTCCATAAAATGATCCACCCTGAACAAGAGTTGGAAAACATGCTCCTACTGCCTCTTTTTCTCCCTTCATCTAAGATGATCTGAGCACACCTATATTCCAGAGCGCAAATCCAAGCAGGTCCTCTATAACCCAAGCAATCCACACTGTTGGGTCCTGCGCATTACATTTTCTCTTTCTGTTCATCACGTTAACAGCTAGGGGCACACACAGCCAGGATGTGAGAAGGAAGTTGCAACACGCATGCTCTGCCCCTACCCACCCGCCCCCCCCAGCCCCTGCCCGAAGCCGAACCCACTTCCCGCCACCCTGCTTCTTCCCCAGACCTTACCCTGCCCAAGAGGTTATCCTGAAGCAGCGTCTCCTGGAGCACCGGGGCCACCTCCTCCAAGCTCAGCATGTGGCAAAGGTCGGTGAGTTCCTCCTGTCCCAGGGACCCAGTGCCCGTGGTGTCAAAACTGTCAAACAGCTCCTTGAGTCGGGCCTCATGCTGGTCCTGCTCCACCTCATCCATCCCATAGCCCACGGCGCTCACCTGGGTGGGACAGAGACAAGGGGGGGGGGTCGTGGCAGCCCTGGGAGTCCTACCCCTGCCCTCGCCCGCCCCTCGGTAATGCTCTGTGTGCCCTGGCCCCTGGTGCTGGCCGATCAGGACCTCAGTGGAGGCTGGCAGGAGAGGCGATGCTGCACCCCGCTCCCTCTTATCCCTCCCCCAACAGCAAGATTGCGGGGTTTGCAGGAGAGATGCTGCACCCCGCCCCCTTTCCCCTCCCCACAAGATTGCAGGGTTCTCCAGGAGCCAGCCCTGGCCAGCCAGCTCCCATGGCCACTCCCACCAGGGCCACAGCCACAGGTCGGGTCATGCGGGGCTATCGTTACCAGAATGAGGGAGTCTCCTCTCCTGCCTGGTCCTCGGGCAGGTGGCCAGTCTCAAACTCAAGACTGAAAGCAATTCTCTATCAGCTCATCTGGCCCTGGACTTAACAGAAGGTGAAAGGCCACTTCGGACACTCAGTCCTTTCAAAATAACTGGTAGCACCGGCAGGCTGCGGGGCCTGAGCTTCCACGCAAGTTGGCGGGCTCAGGACCACCTGCCCAGATGTCGCACTCCACCCCTGGGCTATTTAGATGCCTAGATGCCCCCATCGCAGTCAGCCCCGGGGGCTTGCAGCGAGAGGCACTGGATAGAAAACCACCTCCCTGTTTACAAGAGACACAATGCCTTTTACACAAGTTCCTCAAAAAGCAGCGCAACTAACTTCATTGGCGCAATTACATGAGGTGTGGCAGGAAGAGTATTCCCTGAAGCACCGCTGTAGTCCCGGGAGTTGTAGGTAATGCCGCGTTGCCTACAGAAAGGGGAAAACACTACTCCAAGCTTTCAGACTGTGAGGTTCAGAGGAACCGCAGACCACATGAATCGTACAGAGTTTCAGGGAGCGTCCCTCACCCAGACCACCTCACGTCTGTACACCTGCTTAATCTGTCTTCCACCCTTCCGACCCCAGGCCTTCCATTTCTCCACCTTCCATGGGATCAGTAAAAACGTGGACTCCTGATTAACTCAGAATCACTTCTGCTAAAAATATACGTCATGAAATTCTAGGTACCTCATATATTATGAGTGAAATCGGCAGGGGGGTTTGCTTACACAATAATTCATCTTTAATGTGGTGGGGCTTCCAATGAAAGCCTGAAACGTGCCCGTTGGAAGCTACCTTCACCATGATGCAATGGAAGCCAAACACAACATACACCCTTGAGACGGTGACCTCAGCCCAATGTGAATCAAGGCTCTCAGAACCAGCTCCTTGACTATAAAATGCAGCACTTTCAAAAATATATTTATCTTGCCAATACGTTTTTTACTACAATAAAAAAGACATAACATGAAATCTAACAAAAATTTATTAAAATTTTAAGTGTGCAGGACAGTCGTCTTCACCATATGTGGATTGTCGTACAGCAGATCTCTGGAATTTGTTCATCTTGTGTGACTGAAACTACACCCACCACGGAGCAACTTCCCACTGCCCCCTCCCCCAGCCCCTGGCAATCACCAGTCTAGTTTTAAAAGCAGCACCTTTAACTAACAAAAGCCTTGAGTAAGAGAACTCTCTTAGAGGTGATGTTCATAGAGCAGATGGGAAACACAGGCAACATCCAAGTTCAGGTGTTGAACGTGGCCAGAACTGAAAATGAGAGAGGTTCCCGTGACCCATCAGTGCTGCTCTAGGCAGTGCTTTCTTCCTACAGACAACTGTCCAAAACACAAGCTCAAACAGAGCCATGACCGTTCCAAGAGTTTCAGCAAAACTAGGTGGACTCAAGGTGGATTCAAACAGCTCGACCACTGATCAGTTTTTACCAGGGTCACTCATTAAAGCAAAGTAGCATCATTTAGGTCCAGGCTCCTGGTCTGGGTGTGTGGGGGGAGGGGGGACCGTCTCCTAATTATCAGCTTTTCTGTTACTAAGGTGCTGCCCGCTCTGGCTGCCTTCCCAGGGTTGGTCTGTTGGGTTAACTAATCACCATGCAAATGTTTTCAAAATAAGTTGAGAGTGCTATATAAACATGAGAGCATCAGAAAAGAAACACCAAGGTGTTAGGCAAAGCCACAAAGGTTAGGGATTTAGACAACGCCAACGGCTGGCTCACGAGATTCACTTAGAGCAGGCCAGTTTGCTGTTGGCTAAAAGCTGAGAATGCCCAGGGGCTCTGGGATTTTCTGGGGCCACCATAGCTCTGCAGTACCCGGGGCTATAATCTGACCAACTTCATAAAAGGCAGGCTATTCTGCTTTCACTTGATTTTGCATATTAAAAAAAAAACAAGAGTGAAAGAATTCTAACATTTCCTCTTTTTAAAATTATTTTTAAGGCGTGGGGATTGGTGCATTTAGACCAATGAAAGAGGGGCATAAAACTCATAATGTACTGCGAAGTGCTGATCTCATCCACGGCTGTGAATTTGATAAGCTACCATGCCCTGTTCTTTGGGAGGTCATTGGATTTTTGCTAAATCAAATCTCCTTCATTTCACAGCGGCGTTCCTTTTTTAAATCTCTTTATTTCATCTCCCTCTTTCCCAAGACACTGTGCTTCAGGAAACATTCTTTTGACTGAAGGGGGAAAACAGCCCTGACTCTGAGGAACAAATGAGCATACAGAAACATCCAAATGATGTTGCATATGGTGACAAGTTGTCAGTCCTCGTTTGGCACAGAATGCATTTTTACTGGTGGATATTATCCCCCAAATGTTCAGGAGTAATTTCATGTGCAAGAATTTTTCCCCCCCGCATGGCAGAAATTTCCTTAAGGACAAGGTCCACAACTCATTTCTTTTCTATTCTCCCCCAAATGCATCCTCCCTCTGTTCCTCACACCAGAGACTCAGTAAACACCACAGACTGACTTAGTGTAGGGAGATCCCTTGAGTGGAAACTTCCCCTGGATGAGAGTGATATAATGAGCACATGAAGTCTTTGAAATGCCTATTTCTTCCACAAGCACACCTCTCCTTCCCCCATCCAACCCTTTTTTCAAAGGCACTTTCAGTCTTAGCTGTAACTAAGCAGAATTAAAAGCCAGAACCCACTCCCAAACTGTAGCATCCAGAACTGTCCGGACTTTAAGGGGTTAGTAACTAAGCCAATGGATTCATAAACTTCAGCTGCATTTGGGTTTTTGTTTTTGTTTTGTTTGGGGGGGGTGGTTATAGGATGTGACTTTGGAGGAGATTCTGTACTAAAACACTTTCCCAAGTCCCTTTGTTTATAAAATGGGGATAATAATACCCATCTGGAAGGGCTGTCCTAGGGATTAAAGATGGCAAGCAAGTGACAGGAGAATCCCAGAGAAAGTTGATACAAGAGGAGTATTGAAAAAACATCCAGGAAAATAGGAGTGACTGACCAAGGAAGGGTAAACGGTAGAAAGGTAACTCACAAGTCAACCAGCCAGAAATCTGCCTTCAAAGAAGCAGAGTGGGAGCTGTGGAATGCCTGAGAGAAAGAATGCACAGGGCAGGGGTTATGTATATAAACAATATTATATTACTAAATGGTCAACAGCAGCGGGTAAGGCTCAGTGCTACCTCCATCTTTAAAGGCAGATTACTGATAAATTTAACATCAAACAAAAGCAGAAAGGCTGAAATATAATTGGGAGTTAAGAAGAATCTTTTTTTTTTTTTTTAAACTTCTGAGCATCTACTAGAAGTCTGGCCTATGCTGAGTACTTTACATAAATGAGCTCATTTAATCCTTCTAATTTTTTAAAGTAGACCATCATATTCCCATTTAAGATGAAGAAATTGGGGCTTGGTAAACTAAGCAACTTGTCCAAGGATACAGTGCTAAGATGGGGGTGGAGCTGAGATTTGAACTCTGGTCTGACTCTGAATGGTACTATCTCTCAGTCCTATGCATGCACACAGAACACATGAATGGGACCACCGAAAAGACATCAAGATAAATCCCTTATCTCCACCTTCATGTGTTAATCAGCTAAACAGTACCAGAAACCACCACAAAAACCTGATGGCCACAAACTCCTCCCAATTGGATTGGGGGGGGGAGGGTAAGGGTGGGGTTTCTTCCTCCCTACCTCTCTAATCCATTTATTGAATAATTAGAGCCTATAAGGCACTAGAGATATATAGAATAAGCATTCTCTTTTTTCCAAAGCAGCGTTGGCATTTAGGGCAAGGAAGAAATAATTTTTTTTTTTAATAAAAATGATCGGGAAGAGTCCCGTATCTTCAACAGTGGGCATAGTCCAGAAATTGATCATTGTTAAATTACTCCCTCAAAATATTTAAGTATGTCTAATCTGTGCCATCAATGTTTTCCAGAGTTAAAGCCTAACAGACACCTACCAGTGACAGAAATCTTCCTCAGAGATGAAGAAAAGTTGGGTTTTGAGTGACAAACCCTCCTTCAAATCACAAAGCACAATTCCAGCTTTATGAAGCCCACCACAACCCGGGGCCTCTCTCCGCCATCTACCTTCCCAATCACATTGCCAGTAGCCTTCACAATTCCTTTGGAATAGAAGGGCCAGTGTGGGCAATATTTTGGAGTTCTAACTAGGGATGGCTAAAAAAGAGGCAGATGCACACAGCCATTTATCAAAAACATTTACCACCCAATAAGCACCCATAATGAGAACTATTTGGAGCGTTTTCCTTCCAAATAACTCAAAACAAGGCTGCCAACATGCATAGACCCCAACGGGGATGTCCGTTACAGATCTGTGCTACTGTGTGCCACTCGGCAACCCCAGCTGATGAAATCGGTGCCAACTGGGACTGGAAAAGACATAACTGGAGGTACAGCTGGAATAATGAAGTCCCCAACATCAGGCCACCATGAAGCGCATGCGTGAACTTCTGAACTTTCTGGCATCCAAGGTACAGAAAAGAGCTTGTAAGAATGGCACCCCAGCCAAAGGGGACGTCTGTTCTGGGCCAGAGGGAGTGAAAAAGAGACAAAGTCTGGCAAGGGAAAAACCAAATAATAAATGAGCACAATGCCTGGAGCCCCTAGCCCAGGCCTTTTATTTCCCTCCAGATGGTCCAGCAGCTGAACAGCTATGTGGAATGTCTGGATGTCCCTCTCAGCTCAGCCGCTTTCCTTGGGTATCATAATAGATGCTTTTAGGTTTGTGTTCAGACATAGCTGTTGGGGGTCCACAGACCAGGCAGTGACCACCAAGTGACTAATTTAGTTACTTTATAACTAAAGCGGTGAACATGGAGAAACCCTGCTCTGGGAACGCTTTTCATTCACGCCTTTAGCTTTCAGGGTTTGGCAAGTCAGAGCCTCATAATGCCAATGATCAAATTACAATGTTTCCTTTTCTTCTCTCTCTCTCTCTTTTTTTTTTTTTTTTGCAAACACTCTAATTGCAAAGATTTCCCGTCTTAACATTTTGGATTCATTTCCAGATAAAACGAAAGTGACAAGAACAAATTCAAGTTCAGCAAAAGCTTAACAAAAAAAGCGACTGTCTCGGGGCACCTGGGTGGCTCAGTTGTTAAGCATCTGCCTTCGGCTCAGGTCATGATCCCAGGGTCCTGGGATTGAGCCCCACATCAAGCTCCCTGCTCAGCGGGAAGTCTGCTTCTCCCTCTCTCGCTGTGTCTCTGTCTGTCAAATAAATAAATAAAATCTTAAAAAAAAAAAAAAAGCGACTGTCTCTATTTACATAGCTATATAGGATATTTCTGCCAGAAATCGCTGCTGGTCGGCAAAATGACTCCTGTCAGGTAGCCTCCTCTTGGTTCAGACGGTACTTCACTTCTAGCTGGATACCATAAGCACCGGGGTATCACCAAGAATAAAACCATGGCATAAAGATGTAACACAAAAGTTTAAATGCCACTGCACAGAAACAAAAGTCACATTACATAAATTTGAAAGAAAATAACAACCTTTGTTAACTACACCATTAAACTGAATTTAACTAAGGACATCCTACTAGCATTTATTCTAAAACATTAAAAACAGTTTTTGTATTTTTCTATCCTGAATGATGGGCCAAACCCAAGCTTTTGTTAAACCTAACAGTGAGAGGGATTACTAATCAAGTAGTTAACTCAAGGTAGCTGGAGGAACAAAATCATTAGCCTAGCACACTGTAGATTCAATAACCTGTAATCAGCTACTAAGTAAAATTATAGAAGCAGAAAACAGAGCTACATGTTTGTTACTCTCTTAAAAGAGACCGCTTATAACAACTTTCACCTCTTGAGCCATATTTACTGAAATTAATTCAGAATGCCTACATCTATGAGCACAGTCCCCGGGGGAAGAAGTTCTCTTCTCACATCTATAAATGATATTTTCCCAACTTTGTTTTTTATGTGAACGTTAGAACATAAATACTTTGTAACTGTTCCATCCAAAACTTGAATAAATGATTAACTGCTGATATAAATTGCAACAAAGAGGTGTCCTAATTTCAAAAAAAGTTGCTCACTTGCATATTCCCCATAATCTTGATGAAATTCCATTTCATTTGTAAATAAGATAAAAACATCTTTTTGCAAGCCTCAGTCTCTCCACAAGCTCCTGCCCAACAGATGTAAGCTCAATAGCCAGAATTCAAACCACATAATTTATTGGCTTACAGATGAATTGGCATCTATAAAAATAAACCTCCTGAAAAGGCTTTAGGCTGCTTGAATCCGGCTAACTTGTCAACCCTTTATCAATGTAAGACTGATAAAATGTATTTTCATTATCAACATAAAATGGAAGCATCAAGATTGGTGAAATGTTAGTTTAGAAAGTCATTTGCAGTGACATTTAAAACAATTTATTTTAACATCTGACTTATGATAAGAATATTGCCTATTACATTAAGGTTGGCTGTTCAGAAATCAGTGGGCCCCTATTCTCCTCCCCCCCCCCGTGACAGTTAACATCTTTTGCTATTAAGGGTCATTACATATGGAAAATGAAAAAAGACGAAGAAAGACACCATGCCATTCTGAGCAAATGACTATTAAAATGACTGATCCCTGACATTTTAATGCAAAGTCTGTGCTTCTGATGGTTTTCTTTCCTTTGCCCCTGTAAAGTCTTCTGCCCTGGCAATATCTTTATTGATGCCCAAACCATTTGGAACATCTGTAAGTCCTTCCCTTTATCTCTACTGCAGTTCAGAATGCTTTCCCCTACAGACTCGCCAGAGAACAGGTGAAAATAAACCCGCAAATGAACTCTCCAGGAGTTCACTTCACCTCCCTAAGAACACTGACAACAGCTGAAGAGACAACAAACAGGTTTTTCAGCCAGCCTGTAATGTTACTTTTACACACAGTCTGGAAATCTTCACAACCCGCCCCCCAACTCCAGAGCAAGATCTGCCAATATTTCAGGTCATCCACCAGAAGATTCAAGATAAAATTAAGCTGACACAGGAAAAATACATTTCCTTGTAGAATGTCAAGCCTCTGGAAACAAGCATAAATTTTTGTCAATGTATTTAAGGGAGCCCCACTGAGAAATCTTCCATGGTCTCAGGAGCTCAGCCCATATGCTGGGATGGACTTTATCGGGATTCTAGCTACCATGTCAGTCACAAAAGACAACTAGGCAATCTGTTTTGATTTCATAAATTCAGAGTTAAGTTGTATGGCAAGTCCATCTCAGGAATTCCTCTGTCCCTGTTAAGTAAAGAAGGCCCAGGATCTCATAATAGCTAAGTTGTTGAAGCAAGGTACATGGTAGGGCAATCTTTCCACCCCCCATTTTATGTGCACCTCGACCCCGGTTTGTAGGGGCTGGGGTCAGGAAAACGCCTCTTTCTCTCCCTCTCTCTCAACTTCACAGACAGAGCTTCCCGTAGTAAAGTGTTTCCATCAGCTTTGTCTTTTTGTCAGGGACCGGTTTGGTAGTCGCAGAAGCCCAGCCCTGGGAACCCTGGAAGCTTCTCCCGCAGCACTCCACACTTCCATTCCGCTGGTCTGGCGATCAAGGTTTTCAGGCAATAACCGCATGTCATTTGGTCCTTTTCCCCTTAGTTCTTAGTCATTGCACTGGCAAAGTCTTTCTATAGGCGTTTCTCCCGCACGCCTTCTAAGATGCCCCCCCCCCCTTTTCAGGGCCCCAAACAGCTCTCCGCTGCTCGGAGAGCCCAGGCTTATCACCTCGGGTTTCCCCAGACAGGTTTCTCTTCAGCTGCTCAATCACAAGGCTGCCTGGGTGGCACAAGGCAACAGAACAACCACCCTTTCTGCTCCCTCCGGGACTCAAGTCGGCTCCTGGATCTACACACAGTAGCGGCTTTGAGCCGGCGGCTGCGGGCTGCGACCGCGGGGGCGGCCGAGGCGCCCAGACCCCGCTGCGCTGCCGCGCGGGGAGGCGGAGGCGCGGCCGGAGGGCGGGCGCGCCTCCCCGGTCCCCCGCAACCTGTGTTGCAGGTGCGTCTCCGACCCGCCTGCCCATCGCACCGCCAGAAACCTCAGACACCCCATTGTGTCACCAGGCGGCACGCCGTCTCGGCCTCCGCCGTCCTCGCCTACCTTCTGGCGGCCTCTCCGTTGCGCCCGCACCGCCGGCCGCCTGCCTCCAGGGCTCTGCAAAGCGAAGGAGGACGCTTTGTTAGGGCTCACGAAGCGGGACAATACTTCGCAGCCGGCGCCGTGGTTCCGGGCGGGCGTCCTTCAAAAGGACGCGACTGGGGACCCGCGCGAGCGTCATTTCCATATGTAAGGAGCCAGCTCGTACAAAAGCGCGGCTCTTCGGGGCTGCAGCGCGCATCCTCCCCGCCCGCCGGCCCCCCCCCCCCACCCCCACGGCAGCGCAGCGCGCGCCGCCACCACCGGCTCCTCCTCCCGCCCGCGAAGCCGCCCCCTCCCCGCCTCGTCTCCCGGGAGCGCCCCGCGCGCGGGGACAGCTCCTGCCCTGGCCCCGGGCCCCGAAGGGAAAGCCCCAGCCGGTCCCGATGTGGGGTCAGCCCTGCGCCCGCAGGGCCCTGCCGACGGCGCGGGGGCGGCTCGAGGCCTCAGCGCACCCCCAGGCCGCGGGGCGGGGGTCCCCGGGAGCGGGCTCCTCGCTTACCGCGTTCCGGGGCTCAAGCGCCCGGCGCCGCCGCGGGGACCATGGCCGCGGGCGCACTCAGGGCTCGGAGGCGGAGGCAGCGGGACAGCCGCGCCCAGCGCGCTCGGCTCCCGGCTCGGCCGCGGCCACCCGGAGCTTTGGACGCCGGGGAGGAAGGGCCTGGTCCGCGCGGGGAGGAGGAGCCAGGGCGACGCCGGCCCCGCCGCGGCTCCTCCTCCGCGGCCCGCGGCGCTGGGGGCGGCCGAGGGAGGAGCGCCGAGCGGTGTCCCGGCCCTCGCGGGGTCCGCCCCCCGACCCCCACTTAGACGCCGACTGCGCCCCGGCTCCCGGGGACTGCTCGGGTCGCGGGAACACGGAGCCCGGTCCCGGCTTGGCTGCTGCGTGACGCTGGGGCGGTCGTTTCGGAGATTTGAACTTGGAAACGCTAGGGTTCGCGGGGTGCAGGTGGAGGAGGTCGGCGCCTCGAGGTCGCCGCCAAGCAGGGGCTAGTGCGTTCACTCCTCGACCCCCCTGCCCTCTAGCCTCTCCCTCCAAACCCGCCCGCTCACACTCGGCTTCGTCTAGGACACCCGGGAGGAAAGGCCTCCGCCTCCAGCCAGCGGGACCTTAGGGTGGGGATTCAGGTGCCTCTCAGGCGGTCCTGGATTTCTTCCCCCTTGAGCGCTCCTTGGCTGTCATTGGAAGGGGGCTGCAGTAGACAAAAGAGCTCTAGACTTGACTGAACTCTGGAAGGAGTGTGATCCTCCTACCAGGTCTAGACGGGCCTCCGCACCTGCCCACCATGTTCTCAAAGGCTCCCACCCCCTATCTAGCTTTCCTCGGGTACATCCATCCCTCGGTCACTAGCCACACCGGATGGAAAATCCTTGGAATTGGTAGCTCTTCAGCCAACGACTGTTCAGTATTGCTCCCCCTGAGTTTCTCCTTTTTCACTCCCTTCCCCCGCCTCCCGCCCGCATCTCTACACTTCTGATCTGGATACAATCCAGGCCTACAGGCAGCAGCTGTGGGCAGGTGACATCCACTGTGTTCTCTTCGAACTGCAGGGTTAAATGTTGGCCTTGAAGAAGGAGCTGCCTGATTTATTGTAACCCACAAGTCTGGTTATTTCAGCAAGAAACTGGAGAATATTCCCTTGCCACTGAAAGAACAAGGGATAGGAAGGAAACTAGCATTTATTGATAATCCAGTGCGCTGCAAAATTAGCAGAAATGATTTTACCTAATCCTCGCACCACCTTCAAGAGACAGACATTATACCCATTTTACAGATGAGGAAACTGGGCCTCAAAGAAGCTAGGGAGCTTGTTCAGGGTCACACAGCTAGTACTTACCACAGCTGAGATTCAAAAGCAGATTACATATGTGACAAAATTGCACCAAACTAAATACACAGATGAGTACACACAAAAGTGGTGACATTTGAATAAGGCCCTAGGACTGTATTAATGTCAGTTTCCTGGTTGTGATATTGTACTACAGTTATTCAAAATATTACCATTGGGTAAAAGGTCTATAAGGGATCTCTCTATACTATTTCTTAAAACTTAATGTGCATCTACAGTTGTCCCCAACTTAAAAGTTTGTTTTTTAAAGCATATCAGTCTTATTTTAGAATCGAGTTCTCTTCTTTCAACACATGCTCCCCCTCCCGCCCTTTTTAATACTCTTATGCACACACATTCATATACTTTATGCACGGTTCTGTCCAGTAGTAATTATACAACACACAGACACACTGTTAAGTGAATAGCTAACTTGTGACCAGAATACTTACATAGGTGTCATCTCAGAGAAGAATGTTCACTGGGGAGGAAAACAGCCAACAGTCTGAGAAGGTTAAGAATGAAGAGATGTTTCCTTGTTTCACTTAATCTCTGCCATGGGAGCCTCATCCTACTGGTTCTCTCTCCAAGCATCCCTTTTACCTGCAAGAATCCTTAAGGCTGGGATTGCTCATTAATTCAACATGGTGATTCTTGGGAGTCAGGGGATGCTGGAGGTGGCATTCACTCCCTATGGAGAAAGGTCAGAATTGGTGGGGGTTGTGTGGTTTGAGAAACACAAGATACTTTTTCTTGAGAGGGGTGAGTGGGGTGGAGTTAATGCTGGGACTAGAAACTTGGAATGACATCCAACCCCCAGCCTTGCTACAAAGGAGGGGAGAGTGTGGAGCATGGCTACTTTGTGGTGTAGCTTTGCAAGGACACTCTTACCAAGGCAGATAATTTAATACCATGTGCCTGCAACTTAAGTTGCACAGGGGGAAAGGTTAATCTTAGTCCAGTCTAGAGTCACTGGAAAAAAGCAGGGACTTACCTTAGAACCTAAGCTTTTGAGCTTTCTCTGTTAAACAAAAATGAAGATAGCCAAAAAAGTAGCCAGGTTCTTATGCAATAGAAGGAAAAAAGTGAAAAGAGACATAAACATTTACCCAGCCTTTACAAACCACATTTCACTTTTATCTGTTGCAGTTTGTCTGCCTCTGATATTAACTCTCAATTTATAAAGAGCCTTGTTCGGGGACTCAGGATCCTTAAAGTATTAGGGAATGTGATGTCTTTGAGTGACTTTTGGCAACATTTTTCAGTATTGGATTGGTTTTCTCAGGTGGCTAAAAGCTCTAAAAAGTTAACCAGAGAATAATCCAGGGAAGAGAAAGTTATTCTTTGTTTCTTCTTGAAGTAACTTTGTAATGATTAGTTTAAAGTGAGGACAACAAGAGTGATTTTTTTTTTTTTAAGGAGAGAGAGAAAATTCAGGCTTTGTTAATTTCCTTGGGATCTACAGAGTTATATTTCTTTTCTGGGCAAAGAAAGCCCATAGTTCTAACCAAACTCAGTCTACCCTCCCCTAAAGTCGCAGTCGCGTATAAATTATTTCTTAGTCACCGTACAGTTAAAAACAAAGCAAAACAGGTGGCTCCTGGGTGGCTCAGTCAGTTACGCTCCCGCCTTTGGCTCAGGTCATGGTCCCATGGTCCTGGGATAGAGCTCTGCGTCGGGCTCCCTGCTCCGCAAGGAGCCTGCTTCTCCCTCTTCCTCTGCGGCTCCCCCTGTTTGTGCTCTCTCTCACTGTCAAATAAATTAATAAAATCTTCAAAAAACAAAAACAAACAAAAACAAAACAAAAATGCTTTTGTCACTCTCTAGTAACTCACAGCTCCTTCTACACTTCAATAAATGACTTTCTTATTTCTCTGACCATGTGAACTGATCAGAGCAATCTTCAGGTAAGTTACAGAGCTGCATCAGGGGGGCTAAATGGTTAAAGCAGATCATCATTTCTAGTCCAAGCCAGGGACTGTCTGGGTAGAAGGGACATCATACTCTCCCCAAGTACCTAAGGTAATGGGTGATGAAAGGAGGAAGGGGGAAATTTGGGTTCCATCCAGATGTGTAAGTCAAAGGCTAGGAGAAAGTTCCAGTGACAAAATGAGGGTGGTAAGAACCCAGGAAGATGCTGGGAAGAAAGGAGATAAACACGGAAAGGGGACAGGAAATAGTCAGAAGGCAAACTGATTTATACTTTTGCCCCTGAAGAACCCTCATTAGGAATTAGGATTCTCCATTTTCCCTCATGAAATATATGAAAGAAGAGGACCCAGGGATTTAGCACAATTTAATTCATTATTATTATTTTTAAAGTAAGCATTGAGTTACCTACTCTGTGTCTACAACTGTCCTGGAAATCATGAGATATTCAAAAGAAACATCAACCTTGGCTCTTGCCTTTGACTGTATCTTTCTCCCTGGGGGAAGCAAAAAACATGCACCGGAGACAGTAAGGAAATGATCTGAGGTAGCACTGGATTTTTTTTTAAGATTTTATTTATTTGTTTGAGAGAGAGATAAAGCACAAGCAGGGGGAGGGGCAGAGGGAGAGGCAGACTCCCTGCTGAGCTTGATCCCAGGCCCTCCTGGGTAGCCCTGGATTCTAATCAGGTCCTCCAGTTGGGGGACACATATAGCATGACAGGGAAGAGAGGATGAGTCCCCTAAAATATGGCTTCTGTTAGATCATTTAGTCCATCGCCTTTCAGGTCAGGTCCTAGATCTCCTTCCTGATAGGCAAGGCCCTACTTGATCCCGGCAGATGGATGTTGGCTCATTGTCTCCAAACAACCTACCCTCCTTCCACTCTGCTCTCATGTGCCTCTGAATCTTCCCTGTGCTGCCCTTTCTGCCCAGATCATCAGTCCTGGGGCATATTTTGATACCCTGTCTCTGTCTACTGTTCTTTATTTGACCCAGCAGTTAATGCACAGCAGGAAGTGGTTATTGAACATGTGCCTTCTGGAGCTCATGAACTGAGCATTTAGGTGCTTTCCAAATACTTGGCACTCACATGGAGAAGAGATGTTGCATGTGTGTGCGTGGCAGAGGAGGAGGGCTGCTCTTCACTTTGGGAAGCATCTATTTTCATGTGTCTGCAATCTGGAAATGTTCTACTGTTCTAAAACCTAAAGACTGACACTCCAGCTTCACTCAAAGTAGAAGAAAATTAAATTCTAGTTTAAGGAACATTGCTATTCTTTCTCCTCACACTCTCTTCAACACTTAGCCAACATGACACGAAATTTTTACCTTTTTTTAAAAAAAGACCTTTGAATGGAAAATGAGGTAATATCTTTTCCCAAGCAAGACTTCTTTAAGTTTTCTAGAATTTGATGTGCATCCAGAAGAAATGGGAACTCAGAAACATACATTTTTAAATAGTTCAATCAATCATTTAAAAAAACCCATTCTGTCCATAGAAATGTAACATAAGCCACATGTATAATTCCATAATTTCTAGTAGCCACAATTTAAATAGTAAATTAGTAAAATTTTTATATTTCATTTAACCTAATATACCTCAAATTATTATCATTTCAACACATAATCAATATAAAAATTTTTAATGGTATAACTTACATTTGCGTTTGTCCCGAGTCTTGGCAATCTGGTGATTTTTGGCACCAGCCGCACATCTCAGTTCAGACTAGCCATATGCAACCAGTGGCTACTGTAGCTCACAGTGCAGTGTTAGAACAAGAAGAGGATTCTAACTTCATAACCTCATTCCTCATTGTCACAAGGAACCTGGGTTCGGGAGGGTTGGGTGCCTTGCTCAACAGGATCTCC